AATCGCTTAGGCGGTTACAGCGCCAAATAAGAAGAAGAAGAAGAATCTATCAGTTTGCAACATAGCAGCGAATTCAAACTGGAAATGAAGAATTTAGTTTCTCTCCTGTAACGGATAACGATGTAATAAGAAGAATCTATTCCATTAAATCGAACGCTATAGCTGTGGACGGTATAAGTTTAAAATTTTTGAAAATGATCCTTCCATACGTAGTCCATATCTTAAACTTTTCTTTCACTACTTCTACGTTTCCAGACGCATGGAAGATAGCTATGGTTACTCCATTTCTGAAAAAGCACGCAGTCTCTTCACCATCTGATTTCCGTCCAATAAGTATACTGTCTTCGTTGTCCAAGGTCTTGGAAAAGCTAATGGTAAGACAGATAGTTGGCTACCTTGATGAACATAAACTCCTCGCGGTGTATCAGTCTGGGTATAGAAGTAGCCACAGCTGTGCTACAGCTATTTTGAAGGTAACTGAGGATATAAGACCACCATATGACAGGGGTGAGCTAACAGTTTTAGCTCTGTTAGGCTTCTCCAAGGCCTTTGACAAGGTTGATCACAGTATACTCATGCTAAAGCTAAAGAGATATTTTGGATTTTCTGATGGTGCCATAAAATTAATGGAAAATTATCTTACTAATAGTTGGCAGAAAGTTGTCGCTAAAAACGTGGGCTCTGAGCTAAAGAAACTACATTCGGGAGTGCCGCAGGGGTCTATACTAGGTCCAATCCTATTTAGTATTTTTTATCAATGATATTGTTAACTGCTGTAAAAGCGTATCCATTCATTTGTATGCGGATGATGCCCAAATTTACCTCTCTCACCCTATAGGACTTTCTGCAGACTTAATAGCTAGAGTCAGTGAAGATCTTCACTCGATATCTGTTTGGGCAAAGCTTAATAATTTGAATTTAAATTCAACGAAGACCAAAGCTATATGTATCTCATCCCATTTAAACTCGCAAGATTACATTCCATCATTAGCCTTAGAGAACACATTGATTAAATTTGAACCAGTTGTTACAAGCCTTGGTTATAAAATTAACTCACTTTTAGGGTGTACTGACCATATAAACTCCACTTTAGCAAAAATATATTTTGTACTAAGAAAGTTATGGCGCACGGCGGACTTTGTACCCCAAGACATAAAATCACGTTTGGTAAAAATATTTATAGTTCCACTGATTTCGTATGGTGAACTCGTTTATGGTCAAATGGAGAGTACAAGATATGTATTTTCCAAGCGCAAGTTTGACCACATTTCACAGTGTAGCTATAAAATACTCAACTGTAGCGTGACTGTTTTCTTAAAATATCATAGCCTTTTATTTCTGCACAAATTGATACATAAAAAAACCCCGGAATACCTTATTAAAAAATTTACTTTTGCGCGTTCACGTAGAACATGCAGCCTCATTGTACCAAGGCACAATTGTCTTGTTTCCTCGAGAATGTTTTTGTCAGTGTTGTAAACACATGGAATTCACTACCGATATGTTTAAAATCCATTGAGAATGCTAGGCGCTTTAATCAGAGGTTTTTGAATACGTTAAGATCTAAACCTTATTAACTCTTGCCTTTTAATTGTGTCAAACTGTACTTTAATCTAATTTGGTTTAATCTATTGAAAGAATTTTTACTTTTATCTAATTTAGTTTAATCTGTTGAAGGAATTTGTGCGAAAAAATTTAGTTTAGGTTAGCGAAAATATTGCATATTATCGTATAAAGTATGATGTGCTTAAAAGACAAGTCTTATGTACAGCCAGCAACATGAATGAATAAACAAACAAACAAACAAACAATGTCTTTTGTTTATTTGGTTTGGTTTTTTATACTGCTGAGTGCAGTTCGCGACGATACAAAACTCCAATAGTTATTAGTCTTTCTATGGTACTTTATAATACTTTATTAGTTACACGATAAATACGATTTCCTATGGAGCGAACAAAGAATACGTCCGTACTCACTCACTATTGAGCGTACATAGCTTTAATTTGACGTAAAATTCGTGATCAGCATGTTTAAAAACCTTACCAGAAACGTTTTTAAAAAGATTCTCTGATTTTTATAACAATTGGCAGTCCGTTTGACAGCTGTCGACTGTCAAACTTTTAATTTGACATAAAATTCGTGACTAGCGTGGCTAAAAACCTAATAAGTGGTATATTCAAAAAGAAGAAGAAGCAGTTGATTTGACAGTTGTCAACTGTCAAACTAAAAATTTTATGGCATATTCAGATTTAGCATCAGTGATGAAATTGATGGTACAATTGTACTTTTTTGGTACATTTTGGAAGCCAAAAGTACATTGGTACTACATTGACATGTTTGATACATTTCTGTCAAGATACGGTACTGCAGCACAATTATGTCGAAATACCACACTCTATTTACTTGGAGTTTTGAATTTTTGTGCATAAAAATATAGTTATATTTTCCTACCATATTTAAATACGTGATGTTTATTATAAAACGGACTCTTACTTGAATAAACAAAAAAAATTGCTGTCATAATAGGTCTTTTCGTAAAATTTTCCTGTAAGTACTAGCAGCCAGAGAATAAAATAATCATAGCGAGTAAAATTGAGGGGAAGACTAAAATATCAGAAAAAGTTATTGAACGCAAAACCAGTAAAAAGTGCAACTTACGCAATTCTGACTTTCTGATAGGTTAATTTGGTAGGAGCATTTTTGTATTCTCCACAGAAAATCATCCAACAGCAAAACTCTGAGCAGTTTGCAAAATTTGCAAAAACTTGCAGCTTTCGAAACAGCTGATCACTTTCACAGTTGCAATATGTGGTTCATTTGGTAATTTATTATCCGCTTGGTGAATTGTCCCCAATTTGGAATTTTTTTACTATTGAATACTTTTGTATAGGAAAAATATATTTCACATATAAATGAGTTATCTCGGAATGAATAAGTTTTTTTTCTAACAAATATTTTTGATACCATATTATGACGCGTTCAATAATAAAATAATCTCCTCCAAGCACCCTTCCTTGTTTCACCAAAATTAAGTAGATATGGCTACTAATGTGCCTTTAAAATTATCCCATTTTCGTTTTAACGATCAACTGACAAATTCGGTCAGAACCTTTCAGCATTATTATCTATTTTGGTATATTTCTGGGAAAAATATGGTACAGTTGAAACAGTAAATTAACTAAACCAAACTTTTCTTCCTTTCTTTTGTTTATTCACGAACACCAGTGTGTGGTCAGCAGACTTTTTTACTTGTAAGTTTTCGCAGGTAAAATTTTTTCCAGCAGAAAGTGGCAGATTCCAGTGTCATTTTGCGCTCTCGATTTCCCCCACTTTGCAAGATTTTAGGTACGAGAGCACTGCTATTAACTTGTTTATTTCTATAAAAGGAAATATTTTTGTGAAACCTCCATTCCGTTAAATGCAACGGGCTTTTTTGAAAATTTTTAATACTACTAGCACTTAGATAATAAGTATAACTTGTATGCTTTTGTTGATTACCCGGGCGTTTTGGTCGCCTTGATTTGCACTTATGTTTTCCACCTTCGACACGCCATGTTTTATATCATGATTTTTATACAGAAAATCTAAAAACATATGTATATGTACAGTAAGCCCGCTTAAGTACCTCACGAAAAATGTCAGCTTTTTGAGGTACTTAGGCGGGTTGGGTACTTAAAAGAACCCGCTTAAGTACCTCGATGCGGGTACTTAAGCGAACATAATTATTGATGTAGTTACATCTTTTTGTTAACTTACATAAATATGTAAATCCTTGAATAAAACATAAAAATTTAATGACGAATACGTATTTATTTAAGATTTTCCGATTAAAATACAGTTCATTCCCTAACGAATACCATTTAAACCTAAGCTTAAGATTTTATAGAATTTTTTATAATTTTTTTGCCGAAGGTGTGTATCGCTGCCCCTGAGATTCAAAATATGCAAATATTTTAAGGAATTTTAAAAGAGCACTTAAAAGAGGAAAATTATAGGTAAAATGGTAAATGGGGTACAAAAAATTGAGGTACTTAAGAGGCATGCACCATGCGCCCGCAACATTTCGGAGAGCACTAAACCCGGTCATCGGCCCAGAAATTAAACCTCACGCCTTCGCTTACCTCGACGTCATAATTGTCATAGGCTCCTCCTTAGAGGAGCACGTACAAAGCCTACTAGAAGTGATATCACGATTACAACGCGCCAACCTCCGAATCAACCCTGAGAAGTGCGACTTCTTCACGAAGGCAATCCGATACTTGGGTCACGTGGTCAGCGACAAGGGAATTCACACCGACCCCGAGAAGGTAGCCGCGATCCAAGAGCTGAAGCTACCGTCCAACGTTAATGATGTACACCAGTACCTTGGGATAGCCTTCTGGGGCCTGTAACACAAGCCCTACAAGTCCTACAGGTGTTCAGATAATTAAACAAGTTTAGATATTTTGTACCACAAAGCAACTTGTAGTTACAAGTGGGCACTTGTAATTACTGAACTTTTACAATTGGGAGACGCAGAATATGTGGAAAGGTTCAGACTGAATCGAGAACAGTGTGAAACTGTGCTTAAAGATATAGGCCCAGTAATCGTGAATAAAAAAATTCGATGCTACGGTTTCTTAGAATTTTTTTCTTTTCTTTAACTTTTTGTAAATAATGCAACTTTTTTCAATATTGTTGGTTTTGCAGCCATATTTAATTAAAAATATACATATGTGTTATTTTTCACCGCAAGTGCTATACGTCCGCCGAAAACAAATGCCCGTAATGGAGATCTTGTTAATAGGAACACAATTTTTGATACGATACCATATCGATATTTTTGCCATTCGATACCGATACTTTTTAATCAATAGTTTTCAAACGATATTTTTTGGAATCGAGTAACAGAACCCTAGTATCGTATCGAGTCGCAAAAGTGCATTACAAAGTTAATTTCATTAATAATATATTGTACTTTATAATACAAATAGTTTGTTTTTATTAAATTCTTTTTGATATGTTTAAGGAAAAGTACATATCGTCGGTGACACTGCAAAACGGTCTATGTCTATTACTACCCTTGACACTTAGATGGTCTCTTACGTGCACCGGAATGCATCTGAAAATCGTCACACCCTAATAAAGGAATGACAAACCTGTCTACCTTTGGCTGATGAAGATGAACGGTTGCCAGAAGCGATAAGATACAGATAACACATCAATTAAGCACCAGAGGTAATAAGTGGCATAGAACGTTTTGCAGTATCACCGACGATATGGGCATTTCCAATCTGGCGTGACGTGAAAAATGTTAAAAAATTAAAGGAAAACGTCAATATCTGAAAACTCTTGCACTTCGTCAACAATATTTGTAGTAATATTTGAAATATTTGAGGTTAATTTTCCGAGACCAAAAATGTAAAAATCATTCCTGCTTTTTTATCAGCCGAAGTATCTGTCGTAACGTTACAAGACATTGCGCAAGTGTAATATGAATTTTATGTCGAATATATTTTTTATTTTGACTTCAGCGCACCCTAGCGATTCCAGTTATTGCAAATCTATGTCGTCGCTCAACTGTGACGTTTTTCTTGTGATTTCAATCTTGAAATACTCTCTCAAGAAAAAAGCTTTTAAACTTTCCCACTGTGAGGTGAATATTTGTATCAAACTCACAAAATAAAAAAAAAA